CCCCAAAACCCCAAAACCCCAAAACCCCAAAACCCCTAGGTTCAAGATTTCAACTAAAATTAAATAATATTTACACCAAAATGAGATAGACTTACTCTAAACTTATATGGAAGTTGAAAGGAAAACAGATTCCTATAGAGTATGGGATCCAACAGCAGGCTGAACGACTGCAAAAAGAGAACATGAGCTCCTTTTGCACTGTGTATAGGCAATCTCTTCATCACATGGCGAATGCTAATGACGTTACTCTCATTATAAAAGATGGAGATCCAAATAAATCATTGCTGAAACTAATCAAGCTTGATTCCTAGTTTCACAATCTAGAAGGCATCTCGCCTCTTATTATCTCTGCTAGGAAAAGATGTGTGAGATTATTTGACTCTTACACAAAGCTGCTGGTTTTGATGAGAAGACGCAAGCTGCAAAGTATCTGAATTACAAAGGAAAAATTACTTCAGAGCACTTGTCCTCATTCAGTTGAATCATGATTTGATAAGTTTTTAAATTCTGCCAAAGAGTAGGCTTATCTAGAATGTGTGAATAGGACTCTTGGCATGCTTCTTTGAATAAGCACCCAGTAATAGTTTAATATTTTTGACAACTAGAAAACTAAACAGTTCAAAATAATCCTAATATCAGAAAACTTGAGCTTTTGTGCCAGAAGTTTGCTCAGACTAATCCCTGATGACAACACATTTGGTTTGAACCAAGTGTTTCACAATATGAGTTAATCCACATTTGGATCAACTGTGCCTCATAAAAACTTTGGAAGGATCCTCATGGCTTGAGACAACACCTATATGCCTGGCTTTAAGAGTTGTGCAATTTATGTAGAACACTTTGATTACCTAGATAGCTGAGTTGTCTTAAAAGATGCTCAGCCATTATTCAAGTCTCTTAAACTACAACATTCTCAGTTGTTCAGCCTGAAAAGACAGTGAGTATCTGGATGGGTTGGTCCAGAAGATAGTAAGATCCAGCCTAAACACATGCTTGAAGGCAGTGGACATTCAGACTAGAGAAACTGTAATAAAAGATAATCTGCTTGTTTATAAGAAGGAATACAAAATAGCATAATGGGAAAGACTTACTCAAGCCTTAAATGGAAGTTTAAAGGAGAAACAGCACACAACGAATATGCTTTGCATCAAGAGACTGAGGAAAATTATATGGAGGCACTAGACACATTATTCAAACAATATTATTATATTACACTCGGGTCGAAACAACCTGACCGTATTTCAATGTTTCTCGACAGCCCTCAAGATAAGCAAGCATTGTCAAAGATAGCGAAGTTGGCTCCAAAAGTAGAGAAGCTGGAGTATATTGCCTTCCACGGCATTCATAAAAATGACAAGAAGCTTAACAAGCTATTAGGTCAGTTAAGAGTGAATAAGCTAAAAAGACTCTACTTCGATGGCCATTATTCACGTTCAGTATTATTCAGCTTTTATGCCAGAAATATTACTAGGCTTTTGCCTTTAGCTCCTGAGCTGATCCAAATCAAATATTTCAGGGTATCACACAGAGACTTTGGCAGAATCCTAATAGCTTGTGGGAGTTCTCCAAGGATATTGTTCCAAGAATGCAGAATTGTCATCAATGGGTTTGATTATCTGGATAATGTTCAGCCTTCAATTGGGAAAATATCTTTGTGTCACAACACCATCACCCAGCCAGAAGAAGACAACGAGTTCTTGGATGGACTCATCCAGAAGATGGCAGACTCAGGTCTAAACGATTCCTTGCATAATGTCTCGATTAAGACTCGGAATCCAATAAGAAGAGGTAAGAGAATTCTGCCAAAGAAGGAGTACAAAATTGGAAACTTTGATGTCAGAATTTGCTAAGCAAACTTTTATGGTAATTTCAACCTACAGTTAGAGGCCTGGGGTTTTGGGGTTTTGGGGTTTTGGGGGTTTTGGGG